AGCCGCCACGTATTTATTGAAATATAAAACAACAACAACAGCAACAACAACAACAACAACAACAACAATAACAACAACAACAACAACGGCAACAACAACAACAGCAACAACAACAACAACAACAACACCGACCACTGTTGTGTAACGTTTAGGAGCTTCACCGTCTTATGTAGAAGACCCAAGTGCGATTTCTGTGTGGGGATTTTTTTAAAAACTCGAGCATCTCAATGTTTGTGCCGGAATCTTGTATCCCTCTCAGCTCGGGTCGGCCCTTACAGGTAGGCTCGAAGCCCGGTTCCTAAATGATCAAAATTTGTTTTGAAGGAGCTGTAAAAACACCCCCATCAATAGATTTAAAAAAACCAACCCAAACACCGGCAAATCTTAACAAGACCTTCCAAGCTAAAGGGATAGCACAGGCGTCTGTGGTGTAATGGTTAGAACGAAGACGACCCGAGTTCGATCCCCGAGCAGGGAAGTCTCATCTTATCGAGTATAACCGCCCTTCTGTTGGGGTGATGTGTCCCTCTCCTATCGGGTCAGCCCTGACAGGCACACTTAGAGGAGTCCGTCTCCTGAGGGTTTTACATTGTCTAAGTTTTATTTTTTTGCTTTGGCTTTTTTTTTAGGGGGAGGGAGGGAGGGGGGTTAAATAATTAATAACAAAATTATAATACTCAGTGAGAAAAAGAGAAAAAAACAGCTAACAAAAGGAGCCGATGTGCACAACTTCAAAGGTACGTTTGGCAAACTACCGACCTTGGCTTTGAATTTTACGCTTTGCACAAAAATACATAACAACACCTACATTAACAAACAAACACACAGACAAACAAACAAACAAAGAAGGATGATCATATGCCTGAATTGTGTTGAAAGTGCCGTAAAACTCTTACAAAACTAGAAAAAAAAGGTAGTGCACTGCAAGATAGTTCACGTCTGTTTAAGACACTAACTACAAAATAATAATAATAATAGTATTAATAATAATAATAATAATAATAATAATAATAATAATAATAGTATATAGAATTTGTATAGCGCA